CTTGATGCCTGAAGAATGGAGCCTACTGTCTATGGATTGAGACCTCTGAAACCGTAAGCCCCCAAGTAAACTTTTCCTTCTAAAATTGTTTTGGTCACATCTTTTAGTCACAGCAGTGAAAAAGCTAAAACACTTCCTTCCTTTCTTTTTTTCTGTGATGGAGATTGGACCCTTTAGCCCTGTACCACTGAGCTACAAACCCAGCCCTTTTTATTTTTGATCAAGACAGAGTCTCACTAAATTGCCCAGGCTGGCCTGGAACTTGTGATCTTCTCCCTCACCCTCTTGTGTTGCTGGGATTATAGGCATGTGCCACGATTCCTGGCACCGTGAACTATTTTCACTATTTAAAAAGTCTAGTCGGGCTGGGGATGTGGCTCAAGTGGTAGCGCGCTCGCCTGGCATGCGTGCGGCCTGGGTTCGATCCTCAGCACCACATACCAACAAAGATGTTGTGTCCGCCGAAAACTAAAAAATAAATATTAAAAAATCCTCTCTTTCTCTTCTCTCTCTCTCTCTCTCTCTCTCTCTCTCTCTTAAAAAAATAAATAAAAAGTCTAGTCAATGTTGTGCATTTGCCCAGGAGAAGATTATATAGTGCTTTCTCTGTTATTTTTTACTGAATTCCTAGCAAGTCAGTATGTTCATTTACTTTAGCTATCTCCTTTGTGGTCAGTAGAAGTTTATGACGATCATGTATGTCTTTGTTTCATCACAAAAATCAAAAACCAAATTTTTTTGATGCACGTAAGTGTATTTTGTTTGATTGACAAACTCTTTCAAAATGGTGCCTATGGGAAAGAATCGGCCCAAAGAAAGGAACTAGAGTGGTGTAAATGTTGGGAGCTGCTGGCTCAGTGTATGCTTACCTGGGCTCTGTGTGCTATGCGTTCGTTGGCAGACTGACTTGTGGAGGAGAACCTCTTATTGTGGCTCATAGTTTGCTAAGCACTTAGGTACATACCAAAAGGAAAAATCCAAAAAAATCCAGAGCTAAAATTGGAAGACTATGGATCAGCAGAATTAATAGCTGGGCCTTCTCCTTCCCAACCTACTTGCTTCCTTTGCCAGGAAGAATAAGGTTTAAAGAGTAAGGGAGGAATCAGGTGTGGTGGCACACACCTGTAATCCAGCGTCTCAGGAGGCTGAGGCAGGAAGATTGCAAGTTCAAAGCCAGTCTCAGCAAAAGTAAGGGGCTAAGCTAAACTAAGCTAAACTCAGTGAGACCCTGTCTCTGAATAAAATACAAAATAGGACTAGGGATGAGGCTCAGTGGTTAAGTGTCCCTGAGTTCAATCCCTGGTACACACACACACAAAAAAAAAAAAAAGAGGGGGGGACACAGTGTGGTGGTGCCACACCTGTGATCTCAGCTACCTAGGAGGCTAAGGCAGCAGGATTGCAAGTTCTGGGCCAGCCTTAGCAATCTAGCAAGAACCTGTCTCAAAATGAAAAGGATCAGGGATGTAGTTCAGTTATAGAGTGTTCATTCTTCACCGAAGCGGGGAAAAAGGTGAAGGAGGGGAAGAAAGAAGAGCTGACAATCAGCAGGGCTGAGTAAGAGAGGATTGTGGGAGGTAGCTAGAACCCTGATCCTTTCTGGAACTGTCCTCTCTAATTACCTCTGCTCTGGTTTGGCAAGTTCTCTCACCCATCATCCACCACTCCTATGTGCCCTTCCGGGTTCTAGTCCTGTGCCATCTCCAGCCATGTGAAAATTGTCAGGATGTAAATATTTGGATTCTTCTGTATAATAAAGCACCAGTGAAGTACCATTTGTGTCCCTCAGCTCCTTTCTGCTGCCCCTGGTGGAGTCATGGGTGTGGCCTTGGTGGGCCTGCTTTGAGGACGGAGTGATCAGAGGGTCAAGGCTCTTCCTAACCCATCTTCTGAAACTGGGGCATCTGGGGATGCTGGAGAGGCTCAGAATTGAAGTTTGGAGACCTCAGAATCAAATCCGCTCACTCATTTTGAAGTGCTCTTTATGTACTTGGCACTGGGTCAGACAGACAGTGTGGTCTTAAGAAAGCAGTAAGCAGGTTGGGCTCTTATTCAGACCCAGGCCTAGAACTAGGGTTTCCTGATCCTGTGAATCCCCAAGAATCAGCTCACTTTCTTGTCCTTGGATTAACTTCTTTATCCACTCTCTGCTTTGGAAAGCTTCTCCCTCAAGCCTTGCTTCTGAGTAGGATGAATGCCCCCGAGACAACCAGGGCCCTTCTCAAGGGAAGGGAAAGACTGAGTTTAACAAAAACCTGCAGCCAAAGGAATGAGGTGCTAGCCCCAGAACTGTACCAGGGCTTTGGTGGCCTAGTACCTGACTCTCTCATCCTGCTCCTTCCTTTTCTTCCTTCTCTCTTTGCTCTTTCCTCTCCTGTTTTTCCCTCTGTCTCCTCTTTCTCTTCTTTCTCCTCTTCTTTTTCCTTTTTTGCATTTAAAAGTGTTTCAAATTTTATTTCATTTTTTAACTGATACATGAACTCCATTCTTCTCCAAGACAGAGCATTTCAAACCCCTCCATCCTTCTAGCTCATTCTCAGGAAGGCTATTCTGGTTAGACTAGGTGAAGGGAAAGAGACCCAGGCATT